TTGTCAAGCAATGCAATTCCTACCATTGCACATTGAGGAGCGTTTTCTTTTGCGTTGAAATCCAGTCTTCAGTCTCCACATTTTCATCTTCAATGCTGTCGACATCAAACATGTCCATTTCAGACTCTGATGGGTATTCTTTGATCTACAGGTAAAAAATTAAGATTTAGAGTTTGGAGCAGAATATTAATTCAAGTGAAAGTGGTGCATGAATGCATTTACCTCTTGAGAACCAGTAGAAGAGTTTTCCTCATCTTCATTTTCTGTGAAATTTTTATCGTGTATGACCTTTAGTGTAATAACAGAGAAAGTGTTACTCAAAGTGAAGAAAAATTACACACACTTACTTTATTTTACTGAAAGTTCACACACAGACAACTGTGAAGTGAAAGCAAAATGATACATGATTGTTATTGTTCAAAAAATTTAAAAGTGGGGCGTGCGTAAGTATTCATACAGCCTTTTTTTTTCTGAGTGCATTAAATTGCCTTTATAACATTCCTAATGACTGCAGAAAGTTCACACCTTGCCCTAACCATTAAATAGAGGCCACCTGTGTGTAATCTACTCTCAGTATAATTCCAGCTGTTCTGTGAAGGCCTCAGAGCTATGGTCAGAGTGTATTGGTCACTAAGCAACATCGTGAGATTTCCCAAGATTTGAACATGTCACGGAGCACTGTTCAATCCATCATTCGGAAATGGAAAGAGTATAGCACCACTGCGAACTTACCAAGACACGGGCGTCCACCTAAACTAACAGACATAACAAGGAGAGCACTGGTCAGGAATGCAACCAAATCTACACAAATCTGGCCTTCATGGACGAGTGGCAAAAAGAAAGCCATTATTGAAAGGAGGCCATAAGAAATCCCGTTTGAATTTTGCTAGAAGTCATATGGAGGACACAGCTACCATGTGGAAGAAGGTGCTTTGGTCAGATGACACAAACATTTAACTTTTTGGCCCAAATGCAAAACGTTATGTATGGAGCAAACGTAACATTTCTCATGGTCCTGAGCGCACCCTCCCCAGTGTCAAATATGGTGGGGGAGCATGCTATGGGGCTGCTTTTCCTCAGCGGGGACTGGGAAGATTGTAAGAATAGTTGGGAAGATGGATGGAGCCAAATACAGAGACATTTTGGAGGAAAACCTACTGGAGTCAGCAAGAGAATTGAGGCTGGGGCGGAGATTCACCTTCCAGCAGGACAATGACCCTAAACACAAAGCTACATCTACAATGGAATGGTTTAAAAACAAACATTAATGTGTTAGAATGGCCCAGTCAAAGTCCTGACCTAAATCCTATTGAAAATCTGTGGAAAGACCTGAAAACTGCTGTTCACAAACGCTCTCCTTCTAATTTGACAGAGCTTGAGTTGTTTTGTAAAGAGGAATGGGCTAAAATGTCAGTCTCTACATGTGCAAATCTTGTAGAGTCAAACCCCAGAAGACTTGCTGCTGTTATTGCAGCAAAATGGGGTTCTACAAAGTATTAATTCATGCTGTATGAACTTTTTTTTCTCTATTTTTTGTAAAATAACAGAATCATGTATCATTTTGCTTTCACTTCACAGTTGTCGGTTACTTGTGTGTGAACTTTCACAGTAAAAAAATTCAAAATAAATGTTTTGTTTATGGCTGTAAACATGACAAAAGTTCAAGGTGTACCTTAAAAATACCATACGCGTTTTGTAAGTATTTGAACAAAGTTTTTTTTTGTTATACCTAGTGTTTTTCAAAAAGAACCTTAAAACAAGGACTTTATGATGTCAAAATGCAATGCAAAAAGACTCAGATTGGATTCTTTTTGCATTGAAGTGTCATTCTGTAGACTAATATGGCGGCGTCTAGGCACGTTGTTCATGACGTTGCTTTTGCCAACTCAATTTCTGTAAACCATTAATAGTTTCACAGAAATACTTACATTGACCCAATACACTTTAGTTGCCCTTAACTTTCATAAAGCATTGTAAAACTGCAATACTGACCACATTTTGCAAGGAATCATCATCTTCATTGTTTTCTTCATTGGGGACAGCCTCCTTGCGTCTCTGCATTTGAAGAAATTACCGACAGTCACAATGCAGCTATAATGACATGTTGAAACAGATTAAAGCAAGAGCTACATTTTCATAATGTATCTTATTTAGATTACGTTAGTACCACTAACACCTTGCCTTATAAACAAACAAGAAGAGTCGGCTGGATAATACAGTGAAGACAAAGAACAGAATGCCTGCCCGCAGCCCGCTGCTATTCATGGCTACGGCCACGTACACAGGCCGTGGACTGGGGAGCTGGGGTGTCACGTTCAATGCATTAGACGGAGCTAACTAGCTCGGCAAAATTAAATTGGAGGCATTCAGCCATTACATGTTAGAACAATTGGAATTTGTGTTTTGACAGGGTCTATAGAACAGTCTTCTTTGCGATTCCATTCTCCTTCTGATAAATTGTCAAGATTCCAGTGAACATGGACGCCACTGTTTCGCTTTTCACAGACATTTTTTTAAGGTTCATTTCAAGCACGTAGGCTTAATGTTGTTTTAAACTGATCATGTCATAATGCTACACAAACCTAATCCCCAATATTTAATCTAAATTTTATCCGTTTTTTAACTTCACAATAGTTCATAAACAAATGTCTTCCAACTCCAGGCCATACCCTTAACCAGACAACTATATCAAATACACGTGAAATAGATCGACAGCATCGTAGACACTTTGTTTAGCTTTTGCTAATTAGCAACATAACTTACTTTTGCTAGCTTCCATCTGTTCCGTGTTCTTTTCGGGATTCGTTCTGTGCCATCCTCCAAATACTTCTTGTAGGATCCCGAACGTTTTGCCATGATTTACGCTACGAAAATGTGAGAGCATTCTCCATTATGGACGTTTCTTCTCGCTGCCTTCTCCTTTCCCAGCGTTCATTTGGGCACATGTAGTCTCGCGGTACTACACGTGCTACGATCCGACGTACACTGAGCTGCGCACATCTCGCGAGAGCCTATTCGCGCTCTTGAATTGTAACCGTTCGCGCTCTTGGCGGTGAAGGAAAAAAAAGGGAGCTAATCAACGAAATAATTATCTGTAACCATGGCTTATGCTATTTATTACTTTAAAGACAAAGCTGTAGAGGTGGGAAAAATACAATGGATGAAGGAGGAAGACCAAAAGGAAATGTCATCCAAAACGTTTAAAGAGTGCCCTAATCTGGAGGATGAAGATGGCTGGGTAAATGTGCAGTGGCGACCCGGACAGAAGGGGAAAAAAGACGGCCAATTGAGTTTTCCTGCCAAGATTCTAATGATCAGTGGTCAGTATATGTGTGATTTATAATTTATATATTTATTTAAACAAAATAACTTTCCAGGAAAATAATTTTACAACACAGTAATTGGCTTGTTACACGTTTTTTGCGGGGCATTAAAAAGCATAAGTCATTGCACGACTTTGGGTCACTTTAATGTCATTAAAAAAGTTATTTTGCCTGTGAAAAATTTGAGTGGACACGTTCATTATTGTACATTTTTGTATCACATTGCACTCTGATGATTTTTCTCATAGACAATTACACTGATCTGTGTAAAAAGAGGGAGGGATTCATAAAAGGCAAGGATATCTGGGAAATACCTAAAGGTAACGATAAACGGAGGAGAACACCAAACAGCAAGTGGATGGACAAAGAGCAAGAGCCTGATAGTCAATCCAAAAAGGTAAAACATTTAGAAAAAAGTTTGAATACATAGGAAGCTCTATCATACACCTCATGTCATGTAAATGAAAATCTTTCCTATATATTCAAATGATTTTTGAGTCCCTCAACAAAAAGGAATGTTGTGTAATATTAATATATTGTGACCATATTGTTAACATGATGGTCAATGTTTCAATTTGCCTTGACTGTATCTATTAAAATTATAGCTCTATATGCTAATACGCATTTCATATTTACTGTCATACATTGAAGCACTTTGCAAATACTAAAATGTAAAATATCTCTTTGGCAGCAAAAAACCAAAAAATCCTCATCATCCTGTCCAGCAAAAGAGGCTTCAAACCAAATGATTGAAGACTTGAAGAAAGATCTAATGGAACAGCAAGCCTTGGAGGTAAATTGTATATTTATTGTTTAATTTAGGAAATAACTTGGTATTGAGGCTGCAGACAAGATCATGTTTTTCACCGCAAGTTGCCGTTAGTACCATATATTGGATCATAACACAATTCTGTACTGACACAATAAGGGAAACAAACACCTTGAGGAATCATCTGCCCATCACAATAACATTTAAAAAGCAAGCACTTTTTGACCATAGATGTCTTCATTTTATCTTGATGTTATTGTGCTTGTGTTTTTGTGTCTTGTAGTTACGTTCTGAATGTGACGAAACATCGGATGAGGACCATGAGCCTCCCAGGAATTGGAGCAGTACACTGCGTCAAATCAAGCAATTAAAATCTGAGAACAAAAGGCTCAAAGAAAGCAATTATAAACAAATTGTAGAAGCAATCAGGGGTAAGTTTAGTTGTTTTGTTTTGTATTTTTAGCAGGGGAAAAGTATTTTCATGTGAAAACAGGATCAACTTTATTGGAGCTCAAAGTAGCTAAAAAATTTTTTTCTAAAGATTCAGATTTCTAAAACTTGCACAAATTCACCATCTTATTTTATGTCACTTTTCTTAATTGCAACAGGCGTATGGCCATTTCTTTATGTCCTAAATGGGAACATTCCAAGACTGAGCGTTCCGTAGAACTCTGCCTCATTATTTTCTCATTCATACAGTATGATTACCTCTTCCTCTGTCCTAAGTAGTGCTAAACCACCACCGTAAATGACAAAGGTTTTTTCTCTGTTAGTGTTGCATTAGCTACCGTGTTAATCACTCCATTCAGAGTCCTGGGCTGCGTACTGGTCACAGAAATCCTCCTTTCATGTTAACAAACTCCTCACTAAAATCTGACGGGACTGTGTTAGTACCCTACACAGAGATGAAGATGAGCCAATTGTGCTGCTTGTATAGAGTAAAAAAAAATATGCAATTTTAATTTTTACAAAATCATTCAGCCCTAGTCCCAGGCCATGATCAATAACAATGATAATAATATATTAGTGATCAAGATATTTATTTATTTTTGATTAATAATTAATCTTAACTATAATTGTGTTGATTATATTCTTGTGAAAAAATCTAATGTGGCGTAAGCATTTTAAAGAAACATGTACTGAATGTTTCTGTTCTCTTTACAGACCTGCCAGCTGTTGTTCAAAACTTAAGACACATAACTGAGCAGCTTTCATCGTTCTCAAAGTCTTCCTCTGCCGAATCAACACCTGTGCGACTAGTGCGATCTGAACACTTGCCTGTATCCTCTCCTGCATCTCCTCAAGAGGAGTCTGTTGACATGGTAATATAGGAATGTTTACAAAATGTTCTTAATTTGGCTAGTGTAAAGCTCTTGGGGTAGATTATGGCTCATGTCACACAGTGCCAGATAATCAGTTGGTGGCACTCTTCCAATTAAAATACAAGACCATCTCATCGACAACCTGTTTTAAAACACATGCACGGTTGGAATGGAGGAATTGACTTTTCGAAGAACCAAATAGTTAAGGTGGGGTGGACTGTATGTAGGGTTAGCTCTTAGGGTTTAACAGTGGTGGATCGGTCAGAATGCAGGAGGGACGGAAGAGACTGGAGTCCAGGTTCACGTTCCAGCAGGGTTTAATCTGGCTGAAGTGAATGTATTTTACAAGTCTGTAACAACAGAACAATGTGGAAAAAAATTAGGTCTAACAAGTTTAGCAGAACAATCATACAAGGTAAATAATAAATAAATACATAAAAGTGATTATCTGGTCTACTGTAAAATGCTAATACCCTGAAAGGATAATAATTTACTTTTGAGGTGCAAGACAGCTGAAAATTCCATGATGGTACAGTAACTATGGTAACTGGCAAACTGCAGATTTCTTTGTCTTATTTTGTGGCTAATATCTCACTCATTACTGGGAAAATCCACATGAAACAGAAACTGTCTCAAAGTTTATTGTCTTCTCTGTCAGCACATATAAACTAATGTCCGATTATCTCTGAAAAGCATCCAAAAGTGGAGACAATATTAAAAAAAAAGGGGGCGTGATGTTGGTCAAAACGACTTTAGAGTTGTATTGGCCCCTGCCCTCCACCTGACATTATGACATCATCACTTTGTAGAACATGAACGCCACCTATTGCAAATAACTTTGTTGTTTTACAGGTGTCTCTGGTGCCAGGCTCAGACGTCAAAGTCAACAAAATGAAGCTGAACTCTCTCCGAACTTCAAATTCGTCAGTTTATGTTGGAGACCTTGCTGTCCTAATCTTTGGCAGAGAAACGCTGGCTAGCTCAAGTCTGACCGGGAGACAGTCAGCAGCACATAAAGATGTGGAGTCCAAGCCGCAACTGGATGCTGCTAAATTGGATGCCATTGTTGGTGAGTATACTTACGTACTTTTAAATATTTAAATAAATTGTACGTTACACCGTTGCTTTATTCTCCATTGTTGTTTTGATGTACGTAGCACGAGCGGATAAGATAACACCAACACATAAATATTTTATCTTTCAGATAAAATATTTATGTGTTGGTACTTTGTGTCAAATGTTTGAAAAGCACTGGTCAAGATACCTTGTTCTGATCCTGTCTGTGGCCTCACTCATCCTGTGCTGCATATTTGCCAATCAATACGTTTTTCATCATCGGTGGGTGTACAGTTAGAGCATTATATGCTTACTTTTTATTAATTAATTATATCAAAATTAACTTATCTATTGTGATCAATCAAAATGTAAAAGTCTGCTTAATCTCATGTTCAAAAAAATGATTCACAGCAGTATTATTAATTCAGGTATGAACTGTTAAGATTTTGTGGTGTCAGAGTTCACCTCTGCACCTTCTCCATTGACTCCCACTGATGACTGCTGTCGTTGTGTCCTTGGGCAAGACACTTAACCCCACTTTGCCCAAAGCCCCCACTGAAAGATCAAGGCTATGCTCACACTCAGAGAGCAGCCGTCCTCCTGTGGACTCACCACCTGCAGAGGTTCAGTGAGGGGCTGGTGCTATGAGACTTGGGTGGCATCTCTGACTGCCACCCCCCTGACCCAGAAATGGATTAAAGGGTAGAAAATGGATGGATGGAGTTCATCTAACTGTTCATATTTTTGTTTTTGTGTTCACAGGGTACGCTCGGTCGAGGTTTCCATCTTTGAGCGTTCAAGATATAAGAAAAATAATAAGAAAGAAGTGCAACAATGAAAACTTCAAAAAAGGATCAACGGCCAAGCAAGTGGATGCTACACAGAATTAAAATCCATATCTGTTTTTGTTATAATGTTCAATTTGTAAAATTCTCACTGTAGGTTGAATAAATTTAAACAAAATGACTTTGCTATGTTCTTCTTTTCTCAGCATAAAGGTGAAATGGGAAATAGTGGACTTGATTATTAAGAAGTACACTACAAGTACACTTAAAGATTACTTTAAGTATACTACGAAGTATACTTTGAAAGATAGAAGTATACTCAATTATATCAGAAGTACACTACAAGTACACTTAAAGATTACTTTAAGTATACTACAAAGTATACTTAGAAAGATAGAAGTATACTCAATTATATCAGAAGTACACTACAAGTACACTTAAAGATTACTTTAAGTATACTACGAAGTATACTTTTAAAGATAGAAGTATACTCAATTATATCAGAAGTACACTACAAGTACACTTAAAGATTACTTTAAGTATACTACAAAGTATACTTTTAAAGATAGAAGTATACTCAATTATATCATAAGTACACTTAAAGATTACTTTAAGTATACTACAAAGTATACTTTCAAAGATAAAAGTATACTTAATTATATGAGAAGTACACTACAAGTAAACTTAAAAGATTAGTTTGAAGTATACTTTTGGGTTACTTTAGAGTATACTTGAAGTATACTGCAAGTGGGCCAATTTAGTCCCAAGGAGTATACTTGTAGTACAAGTATAAGTATACTTGGGCATATATACTTATATATACTAAAGTAAACTTGATATTATATACTTGAAGTATACTTCTTTTTGGTAAGGGGCGCTCTCTGAATGGTCGGTCGAAATTCAACCGATTGAAATTGGGATATGTATGTTTGTCTAAATTTCTCACATCTAGTATAGTTAACAAACCAGTTGACATTTTTCACAAATGCACATGCACAAATGTCTTTGTCCTCTCATTTTCCCTTTGATTCAGAAAGTTGTAGTGAATGGCCATAGTATGTTTGGCTATAGTTGTATTTGCCACATAGAAATATTCATGAACACAAACAAGACATTCTGTGTTATGACAAGTTGTGTCTCAGTATATTAGACATGAACCAAATAGATAAAAGAGGACATTGAAGATACATACAGAGACAACATCAAATAAAGCATACACACACACACACAAGGACTAAGACAAGGGTGGAGCAGAGGGAGGCGCTGTCAGGGCTCCAGACAGGCAGCTTCTCTTACATACTAGGATCCACAGACAGCCAGCACTCAGAGCCTCACAATTATATAGTAGCTTTAATGCCCCCCATAGGGTTATATACTGCATGGTTTGGCAGCCTATCACTTGCTAACAAAAACACACTTGGCAGCCTGGTTCAAGTGGACAGTAAGGTGTCAGAGAGAACACAGCCTCAGACCAGAGACCTGTACACTAAACCGGTGCCAATTCATCATTGGTTCTTTGGACCACCCTCCAAGGCGCAATTGGCTACAGATGCTGCTGTAGGAGGATCTTTGAGTGACGTCATTGTGACTAGGTGGCAAAAAAGCAGTGACTGCTACCTGGATGATTCAGAGTTGGATAGTTTTAGACGTTTGGGGAGAGGTTTTACTAAATCAAATGGTCCACTCTTGTTGTGTGGTCAGTTGTACAGACCGTTGAGGGCCACATCAAGGGTTTTGAACAGCAAAAAACGCAATAAATGTTTGCGGGCAATCAGGAAAATGAATGAACAAAAGAAAGTCTGGATTCTGGGATCAACTGAAAGGGTATGTGAGGCTCATTTTGTTAATGGTAAGTTGTGTAATACTTGTGTATGAGTGTGAGGTCTGATTCAGGTTTCCCAAATAGCGATCCACAGCACCCAGACAAGGTACAAAATAATCATAGGCCTCCAGACTTTCAAAGGCCTTTAACTTTTCTTGTGTGAATGGCCCGGGTTTTCTAATAAGTAAGAATAAATGTCTTGCAGCAGATCGGTGCCAAGACAGAGGCAAGTCTGATCAACGTTTGTCGTCATCCCAGGTCTCATATTCGCTTTGAATTGGTTCAGTTCAGTCTCCTATACTTATTTTTAGCTCATCTTTATACCTTCTCCGATCTTCTTGCGTGAAAGTGCTTATATACAGTGCAGTCTGCCCACTAACTCTTTTAAAAGTCCTCGTCGCATCCATGCTTCTGTATTTGTCGCTACAGTATGTCTTCTTGCCACAGTATGCACACGAGGATGTAAACAAAGATCCTCCTATAGGGCCCTTGGGTGTCAGACAGAAAGTATGGGAATTTATCCCAGCAGCTGTGAAGCACCTTAACAACACGTAGCACTTTTTAGAAACTGTCTGTTTTTAGATGTTTGCTTACTGCAAAACCAACTGGGACAATAAAGATAACTTTGTTCGTTGATACAAAAAGGAATAGAATTGAATGGAATACAATTGTAACTGGAGCCCTAAGCAAAATACAGTAGCATACACGATTCCTCATTATCTTCCTTAAAAGTCTGAAATCTAATCCATATTTGGAGCGACATAATCTATTGGCAAAATTGTCCTTTTTTTTGTTTTTCACTGTGTTACATTGTTCCATCATCAAATATCCTCTACATTATTGTAAATTACCTTGTCAAATTACTTTCTTTACATCTCTGTGCCGTCAATTAGACTGAGCCATGATGGATTTCAATGTAAATAAAGCAGAATATACTTCCCCACTAGATGGCAGTGTTGCACCACTCTAGTTTTTTTCTTGATCCTCTTGTCACCCTCATCCATGTTATATCATCTTAAGAATTGATTTGACATTCCAAAACATGAAACTCCAAAGAAAGCATTCCCGATATAACATTTAAGGGGATATATGAACCAAAATCATGCACAAAATTTGTTAGAATATGTGGTTACGTGGTTAAACCGGCCTCTATTCCACCCCCACCACTGCTCCTAAGCATCAAAGTGTGTGTTGTGAGAGTGTCCGTTTACCTCAGCGCAGCAGGATTTGAGGATAGCTTACTTCACACAGGTTTCTCTTTGAATGCAGCGCTCCCACAGAATAATGCGATTTAACACGATATCAGCAACATATCCTGTCTGCACCCAGGCTCAGGAAGTTTCTCGAAAGTTCCCCGCTGGTCTAAGCCGCTGCGGGTAAAATGCCCTTAAAGTAATGTTAGCGTCGGACTATAAATAAGGTTGCAAAGCAGGCGTGGTGTACTTTTGAAGCCATTTCTCTCTCAAAGCTTACGGATTTTAACTTTCATATCTTCCGGTTGAGCCAAAAAATCCCAGTCGTATCATTCAGAGCCACAGTCGAAACTAGGACTTACTGATATTGATAAAGAAATGTCTCTATGTTGTGGGGCTACAGTGCTATAAGCAGCGGAAGCGTAGCCTAGTTTTGAATTGATCCACCAGCAAGGATTATATTTCATCTGTCACTCTTAGTCCAAGTATGTAGTAGAATTTGCAAAACAATTATAAGTTCAGCCTGCAACTCTCAAAGGACATGGTTCCATACTGATAAACTTGTCTTTTTGGTCTTCCGAAACTTTGTGACTTTTTTCTGTATTGATAAGTCATGCGTCATTAAATTCTATTAAAGTTCTAACTCCCAAAGCAGTCTTTTTCCACCAGAAACAAGCAAGAGCTAATTACCATAGCAACACACTGTTTTCCAGTTAGCATTTGTAAGCACTTTAAACAATCTATGTGTGTGTATATCAAAGCCGGAGTTCACAAAGCATAAGAATACAGAGTAGGTTAAATAAATATATAGTTGTTTTTTTTTGTTTTTTTGTTGAATTGATTGATTGAAGTAGAAAAGGGGGCGGGGTTGCATAAGACGTGGGGAACAAATTGTACATACATTGCACATGTATAGGTTTTTTTGTTTTTTGTTTGTATTTATTTATATTATTTTGTATTGTCCGAATAAAGACTCTTTCATACATTCATAATAATATGCATTTTCAAACAGGCTTGACAGGTTTTGCTCCCGCTCCCTGGGAAAGCCTCTCAAAGCTCAAAACCTGAGCAACAAGGAAAAGTATATAACTGTAATAGTAAATAAAATAATCATACATATATTGTGAGCACACGGCCTGCAAATGTAATCACACATTATTGAGTTTACGTTGAGCGTTTGATTTTCACACACACTCAGCTGCTGCAGTATAAACCATTGTATTTTCTCAGAGTTCATTGCTTGGTTTTGTTACATGTTACATACATCAGAACCCAAGATCTCTGTTGGTTTTACTGTAGTGACTGTGAGGGGGGATCTCTACATGCAAATCTAATGTATAAAACATGAAAATAGAAAAAAATTCAAGTCAAGTGGATTCTAGAATAAAACCGCGACCTGACTTGTGCGAGGTGAACTCATAATGGGTACAGTGTTAATACTTAGACCAAGGTCACGGCGGCATCCCAGTGCATGTCGCTTCCTTCTAACCCGAGTTCCAACCACTTAATTGAAATTCGCTTTCATTTTCCAGCGCTGACAGCCTTCGCAGCTCTCCTCCTACACTTAATCAGATCTTGCTTTTTGCACGGCGCCCAATAACTCGCTGCTGTTTGCCGAGAGAAGCCCAGGGCATGAAAACGCAGCCTCTGTATTGTTTGTTAGGATGTTGGTGGGTGTATGAATACGATATGTGTGCGTGGTTGTGTGTGTGTGTACATGTGTGTTGGTGTTTGGGAGTGTGTGTGTGTGTGTGTGTTGGTGTTTGTGTGCCCATGAAGCCATCTGCCAAAGTGCGCTCTAAATAACGAGGAGGCTTGTCAGACTCACCACTGGCTGATCGAGACGTCTCACAGCCGTTCTAAGCTCTGCACTGCAAAGAAAAATGAAATAATAAAAAGTGTCTTATAGATACGTTTATATATGTTAAATATTTAAGCTTAATTTGAGCAGTGTTCATAGACGAATAAACCATCTCGTCTATGTTGGCTTGACCATGTACAAAAAGAGTAAGTTATGTCTGGTTGGTTTGCTTTTTGAGGATAAAGTCTAGTAAGGGTTTGAAGTGAGCAGAGCGCAGGACTAATCAGATTAGCTTGATAAATACGTTTATTTCTATGTGAATGGAGGAGGAAGGATACACTTCATGTACAGCTAAAAACCTGATCCAGTAAACATGCAATCATTACAAGGCAGGTTTTCCTTAGAACTCAAACAGATAGTGTTCAACTTGATTTGTAAACAAATGAAAGGAGCTCAGAAGTATATTGTAGCCTTGATGTTTGTTAATGAAACTTTAATTCATTGTGAGATCAAGTACATCTCATCTCATCTCAAAATACATGTGTGTTTATACATGGACCAACCTTTCTTTGACTTTTCATGTTTAAGAATAAGCAGTGTTTTATAACTGCTAAACAGTGCATTTACTACCACCTACTGGCCAAGTAAGCACCCAATTGTAATTCAGCTGGACAGATACGACTACAAATGGAACAATGTTGAAACATGGTCAAAAGCTCAAAAAGTTTATTTGAGGTTACATGGACGCACTTTTTCCCAGCTGCAGTGAACTCCTACATACAGTAGTTGGGGCTGATGCTTTGGTTCAATGAGTGAGTGTCCAGGTCAGCGCCCCGGTCGGTTCCAGGGGTGCTCTTGACATTTTGGACAACAGTTCTGAGCCTTCTCTCTACTGGAGTCACCACGGTTCACTGGGCTACTTTCTGTGGACGCTGTGTTTTTCTACTCTATAGGCTTACTCCACTGTCCCTATAGTAACAGCGCTGGATTACGCCTAATCCCATTGCAGACATCGGCAAAGTCTGGCAGATCGCTGGACCGTAAATTCTGCTTTTCTCTGAGATGTTGCGAAGCGTTGACGCTGAGACTGTCATGTGGAAAATCTTCTATGTCCATTTAAAGCCAGCCGGAGGTGAATCATAGGGCTTAACAGCGATTTCAATCTGGATTTTTTTTTTCTCGCTGAGGTGATGAGGAGAGAACTTCAAGGATTAGAGGTAGACATGGAGCCGATGTTGAACGCTCTCTGATAAAGGAGTTGTAATGGGGCGACGTATGGAGGAAATCCTCACAGGAACTTTAATGCAGGACAGTAATTGCATAATTTCTTTTTCTTCTGGGACTGAGGGCCTCGTATGGCTCTGAAAATAGTGTGGTTTTGTGGAAGTAGTGCAGAAAGTGTAGAATGAGCTTGAACTGCTGCGGCTTAGCGAACTTCAGCACATTCTTTATGAAGTTCTTTAAAAATTAAATTTGGAATAAATTATCAATGAATTTCACTACAAGTTTGCAATAAAACTGTTATTAGCAGTGTTGTAGAGCAGCAGTAGTAGAAGACGAAATAGTAGACTTTGGTACTTGTGAAATGCATGCATGTATTGCTGACTTAAATCATATTTTTTATTCAGTTATTATATTTACTTCTGCCTTCCCTTTGAGCTCTATATACAGTAGCACTTAAACAAACAGTGTCTTTTCATTGTACAGACTTATGTATTGTCTGAGCTCAAACAAACAAGCTGAACTGAACTGATTAGGCCAAGGTTAATTATGTATCGTTTTATTGTCCTAAGTTGTAGCAGTAAATGTGTCATATGGCTCTTTGCATTTGTAACTTATATTCATCTCTTCCTCAGACAAGGTAGATCAGCCATCTCTGTCGAAATGTAGATATGTCTCACCACAGTTGTGTGACGAGCAGAACCTGAGCAAGCGATTATATTGGGTTTGAGAATCATTATTACAAAGCTTGTTTATCATCAAGATAAAATAAACTTTAATGATCTCACAATGAAGACATTTACAAGTAATCTCTCATTGGCTTTCACATGTTTGGAAACGTTAGAGTGGGTTAATCCACAGACGGGACCGTAATGTTTACAATCATTATCTCTTTTGCAAATGTCAAAGATATATAGAGAGAGACAGACAGACAGACAGACAGACAGACAGGGAGAGAGAGAGAGACATAGAGACGGACAAAGACAGACAGGGAGCCAGGGAGAGACACAGACAGACAGGGAGGAAGAGACAGAGACACAGACCGACAGACAGATAGGGAGACAGACACAGACAGACTGAGGGAGACGGAGACAGAGACAGACAGACTGAGGGAGACAGAGAGAGACTGACACAGAGACAGACAGGGAGAGACACAGACACAGACAGACAGGGAGAGACGATGAGAAACAGACAGACAGACAGAGACACAGGGAGAGACGGACAGAAACAGACAGACAGAGAGAGTTAGATACTTTATTGATCCCCGTAGGAGAAATCCTAGTGTCCAGCAGTACCAACCTACAAACAAAGAGAGAGACAGGCAGAGAGACAGACAGAGAGAAGCAGACAGGGAGAGACACAGACTGACAGGCAGACCCGAGAGAGGCACAGACAGGGAGAGACAGATACAGACAGGGAGAGAGACACACAGACAGGGAGAGAGACAGGCAAACAGGGATAGACAGACAGAAAGAAATACACATAGAGGCAGACGGACACTGACAGACAGACAGGGAGAGAGACAGACGGAAAGAAACGCACATAAAGAGACAAACAGACGGGGAGACAGATACACACAGACAGACAGGGAGAGACAGAGACAGACAGACAGAGACACAGGGAGAGAGAGAGACAGACAGACAGACAGACAGACAAGAAGAGAGACAGACAGACAGCGAGAGAGACACAGACAGACAGACAGACAGGGAGAGAGACAGACAAGAAGAGAGACAGACAGACAGGGAGAGAGAGTTAGATACTTTATTGATCCCCGTAGGAGAAATTCCAGTGTCCAGCAGCACCAGCCTACAAACAAACAGAAAGAGAGAGTGACAGAAAGAAACGCACATAAAGAGAGACAAACAGACAGGGAGACAGATACACACAGACAGACAGGGAGAGACAGAGACACGGGGAGAGAGAGAGACAGACAACAAAGCTCCTTTTTATATTATAAAGTAAGTGTATTTCTCACATTGAAGAAGAAATGAACGCAGACATGTACAGAGCATTTTAATCCTTGGCGAAAGAGTCGTGGCCGTGCAATATGCCTTCACTGTAATAAAAACATTCCTTTCACTTTCTTATCAATGGCAGTGATGTAGCAGAAGCGTGTGCAGAGGGAAGACAAAAGAAGGGACAAGGGCACTTTTCTATGGACGTCACCGGCTGCTTATTATTGGATGTCAAAGGCGCATATCAGCCAACTGTTATTTCAAAGTGGATATTTTATTTGAAAACGTAATTTAAGACCACATTCTTTTTCGTATGTTTACACTTTTCAATGCCTTCAATGTCACTGGTTTGAAATACTTGGAAACGATCAAAAGCCCTCAAACTTTATAAGAGATAGAGGACGACATATATCTATAGCAGGAATAGATAACTGAAAAATATGTAAGAAAAATGAAGGTGGTTGTGTAAGAAGTGAACAGACGCACAATGGGTTCCTATGGATTGTTAACAACTGTGTTTGCAAGTAAAGGCGAGGCAAGTTTATTTGAATAGCACTGTTCATACACAAGGCAAATGCAGTCTTGCCTTGTGTATGAAAAAAGGGGGAAAAGTGCTCTACACATAATGATAATGATTGATAAGAAACTAACCATGGAACCTCTGGGAAACCTTTTATAGAACAAGGACACCATTATTATTATTATTTTTATTTTTTCATTTCCTTGAGTGAGTCCAGTCTTGGCCTGAAGACTTGAGGACATGGTGTCTGGTGTGCTTTTGCTCGGTTCGAATAAAAATATGCAGCCACAAATCTACAAGAACTCCCAGCGCAGTATTTCTAGTTATATCCCAGAGAAAATTGAATTGAAAATTAAGTCAAAACCTTAAAAAATGACTTACTTTTGGTGGAAAACTAAACCCTTTTGCATTCATTCCATTGGTTTGAATGGGAGCAGTCAAAATAAAGGCTCTGGGAGTTCTAATAGTTTCATAATTCCGGGTCATATTTCACCCTGTTTCTCACCCCTCTCTCTCTCTCTCTCTCACCCTCTCTCTTGTAGGGTCTGAAGGCCGCGGATAACGACCCCACGGCGCCTCCGTACGACTCCCTGCTGGTCTTCGACTACGAGGGCAGCGGCTCCACGGCGGGCTCCCTCAGCTCCCTGCACTCCGGCTCCAGCTGCGAAGACCAGGACTATGACTACCTCGGTGACTGGGGGCCGCGCTTTCGCAAGCTAGCCGATCTCTACGGAGGCGGCGACGATTAGCGCCCACCCCCTCCAAACCGTCCCGACAACCCACCGAGTCCGATCGGCAACGGCCACTGGACTTTTATAACCGTGTCGCGTGGAAGAAGAGGCTTTTTTTGTATGGACCACAAGACTTGAAAAATTGCGGGGACGATGACACCGCAGCCCCTATACTGTTCACGCTGTTGTCCTATCAGCTAATGGGGCAAGGCTTAATTTCGGGAACTACTTTTTATTGTTTTTGGAGATAGAAGGAGAGAGAGAGAAGAGAAGAGGTCCTGGCTGCCTCTTGGGAACTCGCTATGCTAAAAACCCTGGGCTTGCATTCACAGGCCAGGGCTAGCTATAGCATCCAGACTAGAATGAATGACGTACGTTAGCCGCGAGCTAACGTTGAGAAGCAAGACAGTGCACTGAGGGGTGGATATTACAGAAGGTTAAAGGTCGGTGGTGGTCGGGAAATGTTAGCGAATTGGCTTTTGGAGATGACTGCTGATGTTTAAGGCAACGCGTGGAGGATTGGCCAATTCTAAAGCAGAAAATGAGGATTAGAATTTGCCTAAAAACCGTGACGGACGAAGGCACTCACCAAAATGAGCCTGTACCACATACATATCCAAGATCATATCACTGCTGAAAAATCTCTTATAAAATTGAAAATAAAAAGGGGTGGCATTTCTACAAAGTCTTTTCTGCTTTAACACAGAAACATCAAATGACAGTAGCATGTAAAGTCCATTTTGAAGGTTTTTAAGGCTATGCAAAACAGAAGAAAGCAAAAATACACGTTAAAATAAACAACAGATTTTGCTGATTTACTTTTCCCTCTCTCAAAACGCTCGCTGCTGAATTTCTTTGATTGGAGTTTAAGCTGTCTCTGAATTGTCTGATGAAAATATCTGTATCACATTTCTACAGTCAAATTTTATACAACTGCACATAATGGCTCCTCAAGACATTATATCAATGTATAAAACCTTAGATAATGTTGAAGGTCCAAAATTCCTAAAGGCCCACACTGTTGGATCAATGAGAGAAGCTTTTTTTACCACGACAAATACTGCCATAGATTTACTTACCGCTTCTCACAGTCACCTCCTAGTGCTAATTCTCCAAACCCTCCCCGATCACCCCCAGCACAGCGCGGGCCCTTGGTCGACCTTAAAAATGCTACGACAGCCATGTTACAGACTCATCTACACTTGAAACTCGCAGAACAGGAGCACTGGGTTCAATTGTGCCTTTTGTACATTCCTTTTGATTGTGTTTCAGTCCCCATTCCGTACGTCGCTTTAAAGCTCCCGGGGTTTTTACGAGGAGAAGGTTGGAAAGGCGGGCTTTGCCGACTGTAATTGTGTTTGTGCGTGTGTGTGTGTGTGTGTTTGTGTGGATATGATATGTTTATGAAAGGGGTGTGAATGAAGTATTTTCACTCTTAGACACTGGATGGACACCAGGGGGCAACAGCCACTGTGGGACAGTCATGGACAATGCTACCAGCGACAATATGTGTATCCAAATGTATCTCTGCTCAGCTCTGGGTGTTATATTCAACTACTGTTCTATTGTTTCATTTTGTACAAAACATAGGTTTTTGTTTTTTTCTCTTTAGGATCACAAGCCACATCTGCGGCTATATACACTGCAAAAACTGGCATACAGTATAAATGCTTGAAGGAGCTTTGATCTTCTTTTAACGGTAGCATTTGTATTTATTTTTCTTGTTGCATAATTGTATAACACAGTTCAAGGCAAGTCTAAGTTAGAATTATTAAAATGATAAAAAATCACAGTAGATGAAAAAGAGTTACAACTTGATATTAATTTCTCTGCACAGCTAAACACAACTGTTTTCAACCTGAATTTAAAGCCTGTCTCACATTTTCAGGAGACTGTTTCAGCAGGAGGCCGAGTTGGTTCACAGTGCCCTAACATATCACACATCTACTCTGGTGCCACATTTTTATTCGTCCCATTGGAGAATCCTGGCAAGATCGAGATAAATGTAACCCACCTCAAGCAATTTAGTGCTCCTTTATGGATATGTTTTTTGCAGTGTATATAGTACATTTGAAATCTTAATAATGACAAAAAAGACAGACAAGAGTGCTCTCTTCTGTATTTAGTGCTGTTTTGTTCCTTTTAGCAAAATGCCTTTGCAATCATGCCTAATCAATTAAGAAAACTGCCAAAGTTAATAAAAATAATGTGTTTTTTTAGATAAAGAAAAACGACTACATGGCCAAAAACTGTGTTCAGATTATGTCACACTTCAAAAAGATAAAAAGAGTGGTTTCTTATATAGATAAAATGACCTGCAGATTATTAGCCACCTGAAATTGCAGCTGAGGCTAAACTTATTTGACTATTGAACCCTGTCTGGCTGCCTGAGCTGCCTGGATCGGCTCGTATCATATAGACCCTGTTTGAACAATAATATTATTTTCTATTTCTGACCTCAAACACGCCTGGTTTACCTTGGACATGCGTTTGTGAGCACAGGGCGATCCCTGCTTTGCCTGAATAAACACACGCTCCAATCTCTGCGCCGCCTCGCCAATATGGAAATGCAGAGCAAACATCATTCTGAAGAGTTCTCAGGATTGGCTTTGGCACAATGCGAGTAAAAGCATTCAGCGGCTATGATCAAGTATAGAGTGGACTATAATCACTGTTATTGTGTCTTATGATGAGGTATAACCCTGTAAAGGATGGAACGACAAGAAAAATGTACTTGAATTTTTTTTTTTTGTTAATGCTATACAGCTAAAATAAGGGATTTTGATTTCAACAGTTTAACCCTTTAGGCGCCAAAGCATGTTACATAAGCGGTGGAATTCAGGACACATTGACCCGGCATGCATGCAAACACTGATTTTCTTTTTTTAAATATAAGGTAATAATTTCTTGAAATGAGTGGTTTTTGTATTAATTTGAGTACATTTTGACTGTGTCCCATTTGCAAATCTAGTTGAACAAAGACATTTAATCTTATTTCAAGAACTGTGGCTTTATTTTCTCGTTCCAAGGGAGACATTTCTAAAATATTTTTTAAACAAGATAATTTTGCCTGTCCAATCGGCAAATCTTGTTTTAAGGCTGTCAACATTTGCTCAAAGTAAGATATTTTTTGCCAAATATGAGCAATTTTTGACTTGTTTTTCTTCACTTTTTGCAGTATAGGAGCTGTTGTTCCATAGGGAGCTCGATGACCTATGTCCTTGGATAAATATATTCTGTTTCTGTTTGACCTAACAGTTCTGAAAAACTTCTAAAGACATTCAAAATCTCTACATTCTATGATTATTTCAGTCTTTTTTTCAAACACTAAAACAGTGACTCAATTCCTTATGACATGTACCCATCCAGGCAGCTCAACAGAAGCCTTTTCAAATATGCAAGCGAGGCAGCAATTTGATATATGAATAAAAAATAAAACAATTGGCGCTGACATTTTGCTGAAAGGGAGGTTCTGTTCTGGTGCGATCGGCTGCTGCTCATCGGGCTGAGGCGGATGCAGATGCCGTAGCATTTGCTTATTGCATTTAACCATCTGGGAGCGTTTTGTCTCATTAACAAAACAATGCAGTTTGGACTAACTGTATTTCAGATTGGGTCTGATTGTTGCTTTCCTAAGAAGAGGTGAAATTGTTGTAAAGTTTATTTGTATTGCAAATTCAGTCTTAACTGCTTCTCATGCACAAAATGTCAAACTTGTTTTTTCTTTCCTAATATTGTCCTGAGAAGTTTTCTTGTTTTTCTAACATCCCAGATTTCAGAACAAATAGAAAAATTATGTCTGCATATAAGTCTTTATCATTATATTTCACCAAAACAAATAAAGTGTTGGGTTAAAGTCACGAAGTTAACACTAGGACTCCCAGAACCGTCATTTTGACAGGTTCCATTCAAACAAATTGAGTTCTGAAAAAAGTTAGTTTGTTTTATTTAAAATAATTTACTTGTATTCACTTTGAATAAGTGCTGTGATGGGATCCTCGAACTGAAATAGGACAAAATCAGAACTACTGACACTAAACGGCGTGTTGCTATTGTAACTTGCTCAAAACCAGGACCTTTAATTTTACATCAAATGAAAAGAGCAGTCAAAAAGACTGTTCTGGGAGGTCGCCAACACAGATTAAAAGAATCAAACAGCTCAAACACAAGAAATGCAATGATAAAAATCTCTTAGAGCCATTGGTCCATCAGGGGCAGGCGACCAATGTCCATAAATGTTGATAATTGTAACTCTGTCATGTTGGATTTACTCAAAGTTATTAGTGTGCAACAATATTGCTACATTTGATTGACTTTATTAATCTAATCCAACATGACAGAGTTGTGGGGAAAAGGTGTCTTAATGTTATCAATCAAACCCAACATTTCCAGCCCCAGAGCTGTGCAGAGAGGGGTTTGTCAGAGTGGTCCCTGACACTGCTGATGCCGACATGTACAGAACCTGCTTTAGATTGCTAGAACTTATTTTTTACTCTGTTTTTGTTTTTTTTGATTTTGATCACATTGTAACTTATGCAGCTGAGGGCTCGTCTTGTATTTCCGTAGCATCGGTACTTGTGAAGGGACTCTAAGGCTGCGGTGTCTTTTTGCCTTAGTCTCCGGGACCCTCGCGGCTTCTCGCTGTAAGAAGACTCAAACAATTGTGTACAGACATGTATTTTTTCTCTCGTCGTTCTTTTGGCTGTGGTCTATGCTAATAACCTGGATCCTTGTATATGTGTCATTTGGATTACAGATTAAAAAACTTTTGCATGTTTTTATCTTTTTATTTTTGGGGGAAGAAGGTAAATATTTGGCGAAAACATTTGGGTGTGGTTAAATGGATGGATTTAACACACAATTGAGCAATGATTAAAATGGAAGTAAAAGCATCGGATGTGTTGTGAGTCTATCTAGATGAGTGTGTCTGCTTTAGGTTTTAGATCCAAAACTTGATCAGAAAAGAAAACGTATTATTTTTCCAGCAGTGTAGACTGGTCTGTGTATAAATAGCTGTT